ATTCATACACCATACACATATGTATCAAAGACACATGAATAAAAATATTACAAATCTATATGCACATATACTATACATGTGCACAAATATACACATGTATGCACATGCCACACACAGGAACACATAAACTAGCACACACATATCTATCATGTACATAAACACATCCATCTATCATGCATACAATACATAATGGCCACATACACAGGAGCAAGCATGCACACACAGGTGCTGACTAACACAATTGAGTTTCTGTTTCCTCCAAGGAATGACTTTAAATTTCTACAGCTTGGTCTCCCTGTGTACACCCAAGCCCAGTCCACGGTGACATGTGATACGCAGAGTCCCTTCAAAGTTTAGGCATGACCAACTGTTAGGAAGTTCTGTGAAGATCGTTGTGATTCCTGTTGGTTTACAGATTAAGGGAGATGCAGAAAGCCAAAGGCCTGCAATTCTCATCTCTCTGATGGAAAGAGAAGGTGGGTGGGAAAATAGCTTTTATACCACTAAGTACTGTCTCATGTTTTGAGAAATCCATGAAAAAGGGATACTTCTCAGCTGGCTCAGGTATGTCTATGGGGTATACCAGTGGCTTTTTACAAGGATTCCAAGGCAGAGATAGTAAGTTATATTATGAATGGTATAGAATTTTACAGATCTGCTCTGCTCTGCTACATTCAGCTCTGAAGAGGAGCAAGGAAGGGAGGAAGAGAAATCAAGGTGCACACGGAGCCAACCTACATACTTCAGTAATTCCCAGAGCCAAGAAACTCAGTGGCAGCAGCAGCTCATGAGGCTGGAGATGCTGCCTACTTGCACCTCTAGTCCCTGCACTTGCTGCAGCTGCTCAGATGCTGCTAGATAATGCTTCTCCCAGGCTGAATTGGGGCTATCGCTTCAGAAGAGATGCACTTCACCGATAAAAACAACTTCCTCTGGCTGCTGATTAGATAACTGGGCTCACATCCGTACTTGAAGCCAACTGCCCACTCGCCAGCCAGGCTTGCTGTCTCTCTTTCAGTCCTGAAAAACTCCCTCCAGCCCCCCTTCTCTCTCCTAGGCCTAAGAATCCTCATGGCTGCCATCTACCCTGAGGACCATCCTTGCCTGCCTAAAGCTGACCATGGAGACAGGAGACAGGAGACAGGCAAAGACGGTAGTGATGGGGCAAATAAGCCTGGTGCCATAGTATGTTTAAAAATGCCACAGTGAACCCAGATTTTGTATGCCAACCAAAACTTGATGCTACACACACACACACACACACACACACACACACACACACACGGTGGGGGAGAGGCTAGCACAGGACAATTAGTTGTAAAATATGTGGTAATGTATTTTTAAATGTTCTCATGTGATACAGTAACATGTACATTGCCTATAGGCAATGAGAACTTAATATGATTGCTTATAGTTCCTGCTTCAGCCCTGCCCTCATGGCTGAGTCAATGAAATGAATCAAGAAGAATACGGAGGAGGAGGAGAAAGAAGAAGAGAAGAAGAGAGAGAAGGAGGAGGAAGAAAGAGAAGGAGGAGGAGGAAAAAGGAGAAAAAGAATGAGGAGGAAGGAGTAGAAGGAGGAGGAGGAGGAAGGAGGAGGAAGGAGGAGGAAGAGGAAGAAGAGGGAAGAGAAGAAGGAGAGGAGGAGGAGGAAGAGGAGGAGGAAGAGGAAGAGGAAGAGGGGGAGGAGGAGGAGGAAGAGGGGGAGACAGCCAAACAAAATAAAAACCAAGATCAATATTTTTATACACTTCATTATTTCAGGATTCCTAGAAGAATGAAAAATGTAGATTTTCTTTTCCATCTAAGCTAAGGAGAGTAAAAGTCTGATGTAAGCACCCACTGAGAAGCTGTACGGGGTCAGCCTCTCTCAGAGCTGGCAGATGAATATCACACTGAGATGCACTCAAAGGGTTCAAAGGGAGACTGAAAGATGCGTATCCTAAAATGCACCTTCTCAGAGTTCAATCCCATTTCCTTCTGCCTGGGTTCTGCTCAGGTTGTCCAGCGCTCAGTCATGGGCCTAGCAGCCGCTGTTTAGCCACGCCCTATTTCCAGCTCAGCCTTGGGCAGGCCTACCGGTCTATTGGCTTTTCCCTTGGACTCTGCTAAGTCCCACATTGGCTTGGCTTTCTCAGGGTGTTTGTGCGTTTAGCCTGGAATTCTACCTTGCATTCCGGGTTTCCTTCTCCCTCTACAGCAGCTTCCCTATGGTCGCATTCAACATAGAGTGGCGCTCTGAATTTTATCACTGTTTGGGGCAGCACAGCTCTGTTCCCTTCTAGGCCACGAGCTGCAAGAGCAAACCCAAATCAGGAGCAATCTCACCAGAAAGAAGGAAGATGTATTACTGAGCAAAGGAATAGTGTATTGAGCCGTCACTTTTCGTTTACAGTTGCCCATCTGCTCTCTAGACATCAACCTGGATACTGTCCCACAGGAAGGCTTTTATGAGGCCCTAGAGTTCTGTGTCAGTGCAATCGGCTCTGCCCTCCCTCCAGCAAACAAGCGAGACTTGATAAACTCAGGTTTGCCAGAAGAGGTCAATGGCTGCTTCATCAGCTTCGAATGGTTTCAGACACAGCCACTTCAGAGAGCTGCAAGTTCTCTCATTATTAACGAGACCACTTCAGAAGAACAAGCCACAGTGCCATTAACTAGACCAGTGCCATGACTAAACCCTGCTTTCCAGAAAGTTCTCCTTCAGATCTGACTTAAATTCTTCAAGTGACACTTCAAATCTTTTTTTTTTTTCTTCTTATTTAGACTTAGAAGAAAATGGAGGCCCAGTGCTTGTATTGGTGCTTGTATTGCCCTGCCTCTGGCTGTCATTGTCCCAATATTTACACATAGATCTACGGTGTCCTTTCAGCATTGTTACATCAGCGTTATTAAAATGGCAGTATGTGAAACTCTAGCTTTTCAAATCCTGGGAATGACCCACTAACCAGTTGGGGGCTGCTTTCTAGTGTCTCCCACCGATGGTTTTCTTACTCCGTCTGCTCTTGTCGGGTGCAGAGCCTCCTGGTATGGGTCACAGCTGTCAGCAACAGGCCCATCTCTCTCCATTGAGTGACACAAGCTGCTGCATCCTCACTGCTGGCTGGCGCTCACGGCGCACCCCTGGGTTGCTCACTCCAAAGGCTCGGGCTCTGAACTGGAAGTCTGCCTCTCTTTGGCACTGTCCTGCTCTAACACATTACCCTCCCTTGGCTGTTTTCAATTTGCTTGTTTTATGGGTCTGTTTTTCATTAATGGACTCATCCCTTTCCTATGCTCTGTTCTCTGTCCTTGTCTCCCTACTGAAGCCCCACGGATCCCTTTTCTCTAGGACTGGAAACCCTGCGATGCACAACACGCACTCTCTCTCTTTTAGTCCTGTCTTCTGCTTTGTTCATCTGGCCCACAAGACCATTCTGGGGCATGTGGTAGTTGTTCTTCCTCACATGGGGAAAACTGAGGCTTGGAGGAGATGAGAAGTTCTGCCCTGAGGGTCATATCCAGGGACCAGAATCTTGGATGTGTCCCTTCCGAGACTTGCCCTCCTAAATGACCACATTGCTCTTACTGACTCCCTGTTTCCAGGGTGACTCTTGCTTCCTTCTGTTCCCCTTTGCTCCTGTCTCAGACTCTTCTGGCTCCTGGTCCTCTGTCCTTTTAAATCTGTGATTCTCATGAGTCACTCTGTAAGACAGTGTGGCAAAGTATTGCTTCAACTTTATTTCCTTTAATCTGTGACTATCCCCTACATGTTACCCCATTCTATTTAATGTTACCTTCTACACGTTATGAAACTCACAGCCTATAGCCTACATATGGAAATAGTGGATTTCCTTCAACAGTCACACAGGACAAGGAGACTGTATGTAGTGTGGCTGGTGGTGTTTCTATGGTGAGTCCTCTCACCCCTTTCCCGTATACTATCTGTCCTCTGGGCTTTTGCTCTCAGCTTTTCTAGCAAGTGATTCTTTGGCTTCTAGTTGTCTACAAGAAACTTTCCTCTCTTTGTTTGTGAGGCTCACATCAAATAGCCTCGCCCTGTCTCCAGAGCCAAGCCAACTGCCAAGCCAGGCAAAATGTTTACTAGGGCATTTCAATTTTTCAAGTTGGAAATTACTACTTTCTAAACTTCATCATGAAAGGAAATGGAACTGAAAATTGTACATGGTGACAGTCAGGGAGAGGAGACCCTGGAAACAAGTCCAAGGGAACATCCATACCAAGAACACCTGGGAATGAGCACTTGACCCAGGATGCAAAGGTCTGTGAGGGAGCCAGCCAGCAATGCCAGCCTAGACTGCTCCCAGCTCACACTACATGGCCAAAGGGTCAAGGTGCTGACATCAGTTTGTGGGCACTTGTGACCTATTTATCTATAACACATGAAATACACACGTCTTCCCTGCTCTCCAGGAACCAGCCTTGTTTTCAGTTCCTTAAACCACACATAGAGCATGATGATTCTGCACCAGCTCCAGAGCAGCTGTGGAATTTCGGGGCAAGCCCACCTCTTTCTCCACAAGAACTAAGCCACTAGCCTGACTCTGAAGTAGGGGCACTCCCTGTGTGGCACGGTCAAAGGACAATTTCTTCTATTTCCCAGAATGAGCCTCTCGCTTTGTGATGAGAACCACAGGCAGGTTGTGACCCTCTGTTTATGGTTTGAAAACAACCCCTACCATACCGGGTGCTTTCAGGACTAAGCAGAGGAGATCTATATGCTCCAAACACTAGCCAAATTCCTTGATTTAAAATGACCTTTAGGTTAATATAAATGTATTTCATATAGTTCCACATAGTTTAGCACATAGTAACACCAAGATCACTTGTAGTCAACAGAAAACCACCTAAAACACATTACCCAAGTCCCAACTTGAGGAAACCCTGTTATGTGTCTAACCATGGAGAACAAGAAGGAATGAGCACACCTACCTTACCCTACACAGCAGCCACTTCCTAACTGTGCCTCAGCCTGCAGAACAGCAGGGTGATCCACTTACCCATGCCTCGCTCATTCTTGGAGTTCTGCTGTGCTCCAGAAGTGGTGGATAGGTCCTCAGGGACAGGCATGGGCTCATCCCCTTCATCTGGAGTGTCACTGACTGGGGGGCTCTCCTTTCCTGCAGATACAAATCAAGGCTTTAGTTTCTGGCAGGTGTTGTCAGCTGCTGGGAAAACCTCAGTGCCTGGGCTTCACCTTGAGGGCCCTAGGGCAGCATGAAGGAGTACCTGCTCTGAATTAATGCTTCCCCATTAGGGCAAATATGTATTTCTTTCTAGGAATGAACATCACTGCCAAGCACAACAGAGACATCAGAGAACAAAGACTGACAAAAGGAAAACAACAACAAAAAGCAAAACAGCATCTGTGACCTTAGCTATTCCTGGTACTAAATTACTACATAAATATTGATATATTATAGCTCCTATGTAGTGATGTTTTTTCACAGCAAACTGGCTTTTAGATATTCTCAATATACTTTCTTGATACAGACCTATTTGTACAATTTTATTTATAGGGGGTAATGAGGAATTAGTTACATTGTTTTGCTTCTTTTGACTCTATATATTGTTTTTCTGTATTTCTGTAAGCAATTTTGCACTGGACCTCCTATCAGCCAATTTTGGACATATCCTCAAAGATCACCATTATATACATCTCTGGAAGTGTTACTGCTGGGCCAATGGCAGCAGTATTTCTGAGGCTCTTCTCATGCTTTGACAAACTCAAGATGGTACAAAGATAAGTTTCCCACGCCTTTAATCCCAGCACTTGGGAGGCAGAGGCAGGCGGATTTTTTAGTTCGTGGCCAGCCTGGTCTACAGAGTGAGTTCCAGGACAGAGAGAAATCTTGTCTCGAAAAAGCAAACAAACAAACAAACAAACAAACAAACAAAAGTTTGTTACACTTCATAAAGTAGGGTTCCCCTTGTCTCTTTCTCCCTCCCTCTCCCTTCTGTGTTATTATTTGATAATCTCATACATGTATACACAGCTTTTTTGGTCCTTCCTTCCCTCCTTCCCCTCGCTCTATCTCCCTCCTGTCTGTGTTATTATTTGATAATCTCATACATGTATATACAACTTTTTGGCCATTTTCACTCCCAGTTACCCACTCCCTCTCCTCTAGTCCCATCTCCCTAGCAATTGTTGGCTGGATTAGAATGACGTTTGTCTAGCTCCAGCATGGAGAAATTGAGATCGACACAGTGAAACTGCCTTTGGTAGAAAATGCTTTTTTATCACTAAGGCTGGAGCTCTGAAAGCGTCCATCTTTCTGGAGCTAATTTAAAGGGACTAACAGACACAAACTACATAGGAGAAACAGTGAGTGAGATCTGAAATCTATGCTAACTGACCCACTGTAGCTACTTTCAAAAAAAGTCCAGCTTAAGATCCTGAAGGTAAGCTATCAGAGCACCGATTCACCAGATGTGTGTCTGCTGAGTTGGCAACTTAGCCCAACAGGCAAAATGACCTCCCAGCAGACACTAGCCTAGACTTTTGGGAGCATATGTAAACAACATGTCAATGGTAAACTGAGAACACGACCAGACATGGTGTGAAGATTCAGTCAACTCACAAGAACTGCACCAACCTTTTTTAGGAGCCAGAAAAGATCAGTAAAATAAGTACATGAGACAAGCTTTACTGGAATCTTTAAAATAGCATCTGCACAGGCACCAAAGACATGCTTTGGGGAATAGTGTTACAATCTCTAAGAAAGAGACATCACAATGTACTATCCCAGGTTAGCTGTGATTAGAGCAACTGGCATATTTTCAGAAAGAGCATTATTGGGTATATTTGGATAGCTGATACAAGATAAATAGTTAAAGATGGGGTAAGATTATAATAATTTCCCAAAGAAAAACAAAAGGCCCAAGAGACTGATTGAAAGTGTTCATATTGTGCTAGAGTCTTGGCGCAGTAGTCAGCACTGTCTCCCTCACCCTAAATAGAAGACCTTTACAGTAACAGTATCAGGACATGTGGCTTTGCTTCTCATCCTTGCATTAATCAAGAAAGTCTCTCACAAAAAGCATGCAGAAGGGATACAAACAATTTGACAGCTCTTACTTTCATACAGAGTCACGGCCCAGAATGAACGCTTTCAAATTTTGAGGACTTTAGGGAGGTATTCAAATATAATAACCACCAGAACCTGATTAAACAGACCTTCTTTATAATTTAGAGATGTTGCAGAGGGGAAGGGGAGGGCTGGGTGAGCAGAGACTCACACCATTTTCCTTCTGAAAGGCCAGTAAAGAACCTCCAAAGAGCAAAGGAAAGAGGAATATGATAGTTATAGCTTCAAAAAATAAAAAGAAATAATTATAAAAAGAACCTCCCTGAGATTGGGAGTGGGACCCTGGCAACAAAGCCATAGCCTAAGAGGCTGGTACATGAGTTGGCACATACAGAGTGAGTCGAGCCGTGGGGCCCTGTGATTCACCAGCTGGCATTAATATTGAGTGAGAATGGGGGATGGAGAAATGGAATTGCTTTGACTTGTTTTGTTGTGATGATCTTCCGTATAGTAACTTTGGTGTCATCCTCAATATTTCTGGGCCCATGGACATGCCATCTCACACTAGAGCTTGGGGGTGGGGGGGCTAGTGTGATAAGGATCTAGGTTTAGCCAATAAAAGCATGCCACACTTTTCAGTCCAATTCATGCTGAATTAATTGCCTTACCAAAGGATTCGTGGTTACCCAGTTTTAAAAGTGTGGCTGATCCATCTTTGAATGGACAAAATCAACTCTGTCTTAAGGATGATGTTCATGGTAACAGCTGGACTTCTTTAGAATCATGACTGGCTGAAGTTACACACTAAAAGGCCATCTCACCAGTGTCCCCATCTTATATCTTGGTACGTTTTGTTTCCTACATGGAGGACAAGGTATAATGAAAACAGTAGGGATCGTGATTCTAAATGCTGTGGGTCAGACAGATCAATAGAAACTCTCAGAGCAGAAAAAAAAACCACACAGGGAGAAGGAAGAACAACAGATCAGACCTCATGTGTATAGGGGTATGGAGCAGAAAACCAGGCTGGAAGGAACAAAACCTGATGTATTCACGTGGCAGCCAAGAGGTGGCATTAATTCAACTCTGCCCCACTCCAGCTCATTGAGAGGTCCTCTGATTTGCCTAAAAGCCCCCCAGTGTGAGTTCTGTTGCAGAGACATTCATCACTCTGGGGAGCTTGATGCCCGAGGACCTTTGCATTCTTTTACTACTGGGAGGTCTTCCTCAGGAAAAGTTACCATTTCATGAGAACCTTTCTGATAGGCAAAATCATTGTGCATATTGGCTTTTGCCTCAGTAGCCATTTGAATCATTACTCTAAAAAAGCAAGTGTTAGGTAAAGCCAACACACCCCAATTATGAATACACTGATTGATCTGGGTTATAGGTCTGATTAAAGCAATTGGAGAGCTGATGGGAAGTGGATATGGCTACTCCTCTAGAATTCTCTCCTCAGGTATAACAAGAGGCTAAAATTCATGACTTGGGTATAGTTCAGCAGGTCACGGTAAAAATAAAATTAATCATGCACATAAACACCAACTTGTTAAGTAAACTCTTGGTAACCTGTAGTACACTATAGAAGCATAGGCCATGGCCTGTATGTACCTTTACCAGGTAGCAAAAGCAATGGGGTGGAGAAAGCAAGACAGCAAGTGCTTAATAAGTCAAATGGAATGACTCTGAAGAGGCAAGTAAAATTTCACTTATTTAGAAAACAACACTTCTGGTGAAATTATAATCACACCAATTTATACTTAACTTGCCTGTTGCCTGTGTGTCAAGCATGTCTTTGAGAAGTTTCTGTGGTCAAATTAAAGAAATTGTGCCCTTATTCTGAAACTAAAAGTAAATGAGTTCTCAAGTACATTATAATTTGCCCAGCTACCCAGCAAATCCCTAGGATTTTCTCCCAAAGGCATGCATCTTTAATATACAGAGGGGCTTAAGGGAACATAATACCTCAGGGTAATAGATGTACTCACTACAGAACCACCACTTGAGGAGAGTACGTTGTTTCTAGCCTAGGGCTGAAGTAGGCTCATACTGTCTGGTTCCCTATGTCAACTTCTTATAGGCTGAGTCTTAGCTTCCTGCAACTTTGAGATAACGACATCCTCCTTCAGTGGGTTTTTATAAGGTAAAAATGAGAAAATGCTTAGGATGTTATTTGGGTAATTTCAAGTGCTCAATCAATGTGATTTACTATGATTAACTAGGTAGGATACTTTTGTTATTTAATATATATGAGGCTCCTCTTCCCTACACAGATTATGTATGTCTACAGGGTGTACTCTTTGTGTGCACGTTCCAACAAACACATTACAAACAGCATTAAGGAAATATCAAATACATAGTTCAGGTGATGGGAGCCAGAGGAATCTCTGAGATTCACTGGCCAGAGTCCCTGCTGCTATAGGAGACATACCATGGTTCAGGACGTAAGAGCATTGGCTTGAGTCCCACAGCTGCAGTCAGAAATGGATGAGGAGTTGGTCTTTCAACTCCCATAAGCTTCTTCCCATAGACTGCCTCTTTCTTTAGAAGGCAAACAAAAAAGTAATCCAAATGCATGAGTAATCTGAAAATTCTGATGAAGGAAAGACCAAGAAACTAGCTTCCATCAGAAAGTTAGTGAGAATACTCCGATGGAAGACAGCTTTCTTTAGATTCCAACATGTTCAATCCCCAAGTCTGAGGCCTGTAGGCCAGGAGAGCGATGATGCCCTGACTCATAAACACGCTTAAAGCATTGAGGGGTTCTTGGTGATTAACTTATGACTTTATTGCATGGTTCCTCAGTGTGATCTCAATGTAGATGACAGTACAATAAGGCAGGACACCTCTGCAAGTTAGAGTCAGTTCCTATCAGTAAGCTTTCTCCAATTAGCAGACTCAAGTCAGAGAGCATGGTTTGCAATAACCATCAACCTCTAGGATTGATGCTGTAGGTGGCATGAATTTGAACACAGTCCATATTTAGAGTACACCCCAGAGAAGAAGAATCCAAGGGCCTTGAAGACAGGGCTCTAGTGGGGAGTGTGTTTCCAAAGTATTGCACATGTTAGGGGGGATCCTATGAAACTGCTGTTTGAACATCTTATGAAAAAGAAATGACTCAGTATTATATTCCTCAATGTCTTATGAAGAAAGCTAACTCCCAGGCTGGGAATATAGCTCAGTGGCTTGTCTGGCATGAATAAAGTCCTGGGTTCCATCCCCAGGGCTGCAAGAGAAATAAAACAAGAAGAAACTGTGTGAATCCTATGTGAATCCTTCCCACTTTCTTCCGAGTCTTAGCAAAGGAGGAAACATTGCTTTGAATTGGGAGACTACCACATTTAAAGCAGTATAAAAGCAGTGCGTAATTCTTTCCTAAGTGTGACACACTCTCTGATGCTCTAATCAGGGAAGCCTACAATACACTATTCGGCATAATGTTAAGGGCAAGAAAAGGAAGTTCAAGAAACTAAGGCTCTTGGAAGCCTTGAGATCAAAATGGAAAAATGAAAATATTGACTACTCTTCATAGTTAACATTTTAGAGGTGGTTTTCAAGGCTAGAAGATGTTGTATCTTTAAATTTGTTACTGACATCCAATAATTGCTCATGTTTTATGTGGCACAGTGTGATGTTTGAGATTTCAGTCATGCATATAGTGTACAACCCTTGAATCTCTATGTGTGGGTGGCAAATCTACCAACCCAGACTATTCATTTATAGGAGCAAATTCAGAAAAAGCAGAATGTGTATATGCCATTGGTTTTTAGAACCTGGACTCTTTCACTTAACTCAATGCTCTTCTAGTCTATCCGTGTTGTCCTAAATGACAGGATTCCAACATCCATAACTAAATAGTATTCCATTATATACACATACCACACTTTTCCCATTTACTCATTAATGGGCATCTGGGTTGGTTTTATCTCTAGCCTAATGTTTTGACATTAGGACATCAGAATGTAGGTGACATGAGGACCAAGAGTGTGGACCACTGAGTGTGTCTTGTAACATATAAACTCAGAACTCATCTGAGGTCAAAGCAGCAAAGAAAAGCAAAAGGGATTCTTCCTGCCCTTGGAGTTTCTCCACCTCCCTGTTTTTGCGACATCCAAAGCAATCCAGCTTTAAGGGGTGAGCCAATAGGTGAGATCTCCCATAAGTAGAGCCCAGCATCCTACCTTAGGTTGAGCACACCCTGTTTTCCTGGGCTTTGGGGGATGGCAAGGGAAGCTAAATACAAGGCTTCAACAAGCTAAACATCATCTTTTCATTTAACCATTTGGATTAAGGAGCATAAAAGGAAACGAAGTTAAATAACTCTACAGAGTTATAAGAAAAGAGCACCGTCTTCTTCCTCACCCTCAGCACACCAGTCTTTCTCCTAACACTCAGCTTTGGGGGAATTCCAGGTTAATATACACTTGAGAATCACTGTAACTGTTCACACAAGCATGTGGAATGTGTGCACACGTGTGTGTGGTTTATCTTATATTTCCACATGGAATTATACTTTGTATCTTTTCCATTTTCATATACACTTTATATTTCTTTCCATATCTGCATATTCATATCCTCCTCCTTTTGTACAGGTTTGTGCACACACCAATGCCACTGTGAGCATGTGCTTAAATGTTTCGTCTACTTTTAAGAGTTTATTTTAAAGATCAATTCCTTAAACTGAAATGAGTAGATTGTATAACATGAACAAGTTTTGTTTGCATAGTGAAGAGACCATATTCATTACTTGCAACTAGGAAAGTGTAAGATCAACACCTTCTAAAAGTGGCCATTCATTATTCTTTGCATTGTGGGAAAATGAAATCTGAAGTCTTACAATGGAAAGAAAGAGCTGACGCAGAGCAGGAGAAACGTGTGACTTGCTGCAAGCCCATCTCCAGAGGGGTAGGACTTAGGACACACAGGTCCTCCAGTGAGCTGGGCAGCATCATATAATAAGGGCAGGTCCCCTCAGGAGAACACACCTGAACCAAAATACAAGCTTACAAACAAATCAACAATTCTTCAAAACCTGAGGAGGCAGCACAGCCAAGGCACAGATGGCAGGCTGGCCAGTGTCATGGAGAGGCCAGGCTTCTGGGACTGGGGAATTGCCTGGAGGCTCTGAAACAGAAATACTGACTAAATCTTCAGGTCCAGGAAGTCTGCTTCCAAGTACTGTCCAGATACAGGGCCAGGCAGTACCTGACCTCATACACCCATGCGTGCAGGAGCAGGGCAGGATCTACTGGATGGGCCACTCTCAGGGCTGCCCACTGGACAGCCTGGAACCCAACTCCACATTCCTACTAGCCTGAGTGGTTCACTTTCTAGGTCTGGTAAGATGAGGTAAGGGAGCTAGGATTTGCCGTTCTCATGTGGCAAGTGCTCCAACTCTGAACTGGGCTCCATTATTGGCTGTGCTTTCTTTCATGGTGCTGTGGCCTCCTCTTCCTCTCTCATCTTTTATCTTTTAAATGCCACCTCTGGCATGTGTTTTGTATGTTTGGTAGACAAATCCATTATAACTGTCTCCAAAAGTACAGCATTTACTTAATCCTTTTTGAATTGCTGTCAGAGTTCACACTAACTCATCTCACTTGGGAGGTTTTTATGTTCAAGTTCTCACACATGGCTCTGGGCCTTTTCTTTTATGGCAGCCTTGCTAGCTCCCCCGAGCACAGCCAGAACAACTTCTGGACATTGGACATACAACTCTCACCCAAGGTCTCACCTGAAACTTGGGACATGTCTTGACTCTCATCGATATCCATGGTCTTCAGATTATCTAAGAAAGAGAAGAGAAAAATGGATTTTACTTTAAAGCAAAAGTACAGAGAGAGAGAGAGAGAGAGAGAGAGAGAGAGAGAGAGAGATATTATGCTATTTAACAACAAGGCTATCTAGCAAGAATAATGCATTTTCCTCTTCACATCCTTGCTGGGGTATCAGCCTAGCACAGACCTTGATCCTTTAAAAAACAGCATTACAAAGATTTATAAAAATATCATTACAAGCACAGGAGGACCAAATTTGTTATTTATTGTTAATTTCCTACTGCATAATAACCCAAAATGCAAACTGACTGCAACAAAATTAAGCAGAAAATTAAATGGCCCTGGGTCATTGTAGGCACAGAATTCATTCTCTTGGCTGATCCATAGTTATGTTCTTTCTAATTTACTGAGCATGCATCGATGAACCTTGAGTCAGCTTGGTGACACGCGTACAATCAGCAATCAAAAAACGAAGCAATTTGCTGAAGAATGTCTCATTTACCCAGGCAGGCTGCATATCTGAACAGCAACGCACTACCTCCATCAATAATGAATACACCTTCAGCCTGGCAGATGGGCAACACACGCTCTGTCCTTGTCCCCCCACTTCAGCTCTAGCTGCAGACTCCACCAGCACTCTCTCACAGACAGAGATGACAGAGCAAGCCAGGAGAGGGCTCAAGCCTCCTGCTTTGCAGGCTTATGGCTGGCTCCTCATCTTGGTTTGAATTGAAAACACCCATAGGAAGAGGCTGCCTTATAGTGACCATGGTGAGTCCTCCATAGGCTGTACACAGACTGCCACAAATACCAGGGAGGGAGCCAGAGGCAGAGGGAGAGAAATGAAGGCAGTGGACTTGGCTCCTGGGCCACACCTCAGGCACTCAAGTACCCTTAGATGTTATGTTCTTAGTATGTAGCATCCGGTAGCTCTATAAGAACTCTATGTCCAGCAGAAAACTGTGGTGACTTCACTGAATCTGCTCACCACGATCTGCTAGACATCCATCGCTGTCAGCAGACTCCGGTTATCTGCTGAACCTAAGTTTTTTTCCTGGGTACCACTGTCTCTTTGGTTCAGCTATGGGGCTAAAGGCTGAGGCTTGCTTTTAAAAGAAACCTGGAAACTGATAGGGGATTCCAGTTGTCTGGGAAACTGTATAGGCAGAGGCACACATGTACATAGCTTTATATAACACAGAATCATATGTACGATATGGTATACATACATGAAGCATATGTTTTATATTAATATATGAAAGTATTGTTTATTTTATATATGTATACATATACATGTCATATAGCTATATATGTAATTTATGTGATGTTAGCTATATAATTAAAACTTTATATATCAGCCTGGTCTATAGAGTTCCAGGACAGCCAGGGCTACACAGAGAAACCCTGTCTCGAAAAAAACCAAAAAAAAAAAAAACTTTATATATCTTTTATCATTAATATATTTTATGGTATATATGGATGAAATATATATATTTTTTAAGAATATTGTTAGTCATGAGGAAGACATAAGTAGCAGCCCTGCTTTCTGGATGGAGAAGGGTTTCATCTAATTCTGAAAGGCACTTCACTTGTCTCAGCTGTGAGGATTTTTAAGGCTGATACAGAACTTAGAAGAGTAGTCAGGACCCTAGGGAGACAAAAGCCCTGTTACAGTACATGTATGCTCAGACCCCTAAGGAAGGTCCAGCCACCAGTGAAATGAGACACATCAGCCCCAGAGAATATGGCCAACCAGTACAAGAGTAGCCAGAAGCTCTGTGCTCAGGGTCCCAAAGCCCTTCAGCACAAAAAGAAACTGTCAAAAAAGGAATAAAAGAAGGACTTAGAGGAGAGGCCTGTGCAGTGGGCTGGGCTGCACACGTGAGAGCTGAGACCACAAAGCCACTGACTTAGGAAGCTCATAACAAGCTCTGAGATGCTCTAATGTTGGTTGGTGAAGTAGAACTTAGTAACTTCAACACAAAATGTTGGGAATAAATTTACTGTGACATGAATGAGTTTTCTTTCTTTCTTTCTCTTCTTCTTTTTTTTTTTTTGGTGTGTGTGTGTAAGAAACTCATGTAAGTTCCCCCACTTAGGACCAATCAGCTTTTCTCTCTCTGTGTTTCTATGCTTTTCATAAAATAGGACACTAAACATATTCCAGAGGTACTGTTCAAATGTTTTCTTTAATATCCGTTTAATTTAACTACTATACCATACCATCACTGTGTTTTAATGGCTATTCCTTAAAGGCTTGATTCACTAGATGACAGTCCAGTGACAGAATATACCCAAGCTACTTCCAAGTCAAATAAAAACAAATGTCTTATCAGGCCCATGAGTATGAGTGCCTGCCTGTCTCTAAACAAGTCATCTCATGGACAAAGGAGCCAGCTGTCATGCATCTGGGGGGACAGACAAGTGAGGCCACTGACAGTGCTTGGAGCAAGTCCCTGAGGGCACTATGGTAATACAGGTGCATGTCAGGATCCCAGTGACCTCTGCACATGGCTGCTCTATGGGGTCACTTAACAACAGACTCCTGCCAGCCAGGGCAATTGGACCCTTGTGACACAGTCTACCTCACTCAGATTTGCATGCACATTTGCAACCTCACCCTCTCAGGACTTGTGTCTAGTACGGTTGCCAGCAGGGTCCCTTGCTTTGTTTAAAGTTCAACCATCAGCAACATTTTCAGATACTTGACAATTTTTAAGCTAAGAGCTGGAGTCAGTCTATACTGTGTCCTATGAATTCTGCAGAGACTTTATAAGCCCCTCAAACATCCCCAAAACCGAAGGTCTGCATCTTTTTGGGTAAAGACTAAAAAAGTCACCCACCAATGCAGAGAAGGTAGAAATGCATTTGGCCTCTTTCAAGGCAAAGTTTACAAAGGACATCCCTAAGTGTCCTGAAGGACTCTAACTCATCCCGGGTACTAGGCTGACTACCAGGTACTGCTTACAAAACACCTACAAAGTACCTATTCTGCCATGTGGAAGCAATACAGGGCATCTGAGGTGGGAAGGATCAGACTTAAAGGACCAGAGAGATGTCTCAAAATATAATGGTGATGCCCTCAAGTCTGGCAACCTGAGTTTAATCCCTAGGAGCCATGTGGTAGAAGAAAAGAACTGATTCTCACAGGCTCTGACCTGTGACCTCTGACCTCCACACACACATGCGCACATGCACACACACTCACACATTGACAGGCTTGCACACACACTGTGCCCCCCACCAAGTGTTTGTATGAGAGAAAGAGAGAATGGGGAGGAGAGAGAGAGAGAGAGAGAGAGAGAGAGAGAGAGAGAGAGAGAGAGATGGATGGGGCAGGGGGAGGAGTGAATAGATTTTAAAAACTTAGAAACAAATAGTTTGAACTCAGTTATGTTACAGTCTCAGCTTTGAATATAACAAGGAACTTTCATTCCCTAAAAGGAGTTAATCACCAAAGCAAATCATTAGCATCTTCAGGTCTGGGCAGGGGTGTCAGAAGGAATAAGCCTGCCACAGAAATGTGCTTCGGTGGTCCACTTTGCATGGGAAGAGCATGCAGTCTCAGATAAGAGGCAACCCACCAGAGAGCATGCCACAGTGTCGGTAAACTAGCTCTCACCTGGGCAGTTCTTCTAACATGAATGCTTTTATTGTTTCTTTGGAGCAGGCAGTTCTGAATCTTGCACAAGGGGAAATAGATGCAGAGATAAGTGCAGGCCAGCATGACAGAGGCTGCCCAAGGCTGGCTCTTTAGGACAGTGAGCAGGGAGGCCTTTCTTACAGCTTACCATCCCTCCAGATCTCTTTCCATCTCCTGTCTTCAGCTAACTCTCTCATCTCATCTCTATTTCTGTGTCTCCCTCTCTCGCCTCCTGTCCCTCTCTCTTCCTGTCTGTTTCTCTTTTCTTCTGATTAAACAGGGACAAACAGGTTTCGTTTCCTTGATTCAGACAGAAAGAGTCAGCACATCACCAACACTAGAGAAGAGGCGCGAAACACAGGAGGTCAGGGGCCAGGTTTCAGACTGCATAGGAAGGACCACACTGCTCTGGGGACTGGGCAGGAAGCACAGATTCAAAACTTCTACACATCATGGGAGTCTTCCTGGGAGACCAGGAGCCTTTCCTCCTGCCACGCAGAGGCCACTGCCACCAGGCTGGAACCTGGCTGGCTCCCGGGAGAAGCATCCAACAGCCCTGGGCAGTTGCTGTCTCCAGGTAAGCTGCCAGGCCAGGTCGTCCTTAGTGCTGGCCCATTTCTAACTTGCAAGGCCCAGAGGAAGGCTTACCAGAGTCCAGGACCACACAAGTCCTCAAGGGGTGCTGGCAGATCTTCCTTCAGCAAGCACTTCTCTCTGTGGTGCTTTATGTCATAACCCAGTGCCTTTTCCAGAATTTTCACAAGCTGAGCCTAGATTTATTAAATTAAAGTGAAAAAACTAGACGCCAGTCAGAAACTACAAACGTCTTTCTTTTCAGGTTATCCAAACCTGAAAAATGGCTATCAAGAGAACTGCTAAGCACATGGCATGCAAAGCTTGCTGTAAGCAGGACTGACGGTCAGTAGATGTTAGTCCGTTACCTGGCCTGCGCTGTACTTCCACAAGCTTTGAAAAATGTCCTCTGAGATTTCAAAACAGTGTACATTAACTTCTGTGTTTATTTTATGGCAAATGCCCTTCCCTCTCCCGAGACTACCTGGTTCTCTCTGTGCAGTGATAATCTATAAGGACCCTTGAGGACCATGTCTATAGCAATAAGAGGAGGAGTACAGGTACCTCTGAGGCAGCCCATTGCATGTGAGGCATTTGAGAGCTAAACTGTTAATAAGCTTCCTGAGTCTGTGAACACCCTGCTTTGACCAATACTTTCTTGGGCAGCCTGGCTCAGAGTCCAGCACAGAGTCCAGCATCCAACGCTGATTTGTCAGTGGGATCGGCTTCATCATTTCTATTTTGCAGAAGAGAAGACCGAGGCTGTGAGCAGCGTAATGAAGCAAGAGTTCCTGC